CTGGTAGATTGGAATGCTCTGTGTGATATATTTAAAGAATTTTGTTTCTTTCATTCAAGCAAACTTAGGGGTAGATACTAGCTGAATGTTTACCTGAGATTTAAAAGGTATATAGACATTTTAAGTAACGTACCTGACAGCAGTACTTAACACTCTGATTTTAAAGTTCCCAACAATGGCCTTTACATTCCCGTTCATTGCTGACTGGGGTTGTTGTAAGGGGAGACGAACGTCAAAGAATACATCGGGAGTTAAAAAACCTCTGAGTAAATAGAAATCTGGGTCAACTTGTTCATGTTTTAAAAATAAAAAACCCCGCATTTAACCAAATAGATATGTTTGGTTCTATTTGTTAAAAATGCATCCAATTTTATTGATGATACTTTGTACCTCATTTTCAGTATTTTGTTTTAAAAAGCTGGTCTTGTTGTTGGAAGAACAGATATGGCTTTAAGTTTAAACAAAAGGCATTAGTGTGTGTAAAAGTTTTGCTTTATTCACAAACATTGACCAACACAGAACAGTGACCATGACATTTTTTTTTTTTATAAAATGGTGCGTGTCAACCAAGTTAAATGTACCTAACAACAATTCTTAACTACTAAAGTATGAAAATCTCTGTGATGTAAACCTGTTGTCTGGTAAGTTCGGTTTGTAGGGTAAGTCTGCGTTGTCGGGTAAGTTTTTGTTGTAGGATAAGTCTGGGTTATCAGGTAAGTTTTTGTTGTAGGGTAAGTCTGCGTTGTCGGGTAAGTTTTTGTTGTAGGGTAAGTCTGCGCTGTCGGGTAAGTTTTTGTTGTAGGGTAAGTCTGCGTTGTCTGGTAAGTTTTTGTTGTAGGGTAAGTCTGCGTTGTCAGGTAAGTTATTGTTGTCGGGTAAGTTTTTGTTGTAGGGTAAGTCTGCGTTGTCGGGTAAGTTTTTGTTGTAGGGGAAGTCTTGGTTGTCGGGTAAGTTTTTGTTGTAGGGTAAGTCTGCATTGTAAGATAAGTTTTTGTCGTAGGGTAAGTCTGGGTTGTCGGGTAAGTTATTGTTGTAGGGTAAGTCTGCGTTGTCGGGTACGTTTTTGTTGTAGGGTAAGTCTAGGTTGTCTAGTAAGCTTTTGTTGTAGGGTAAGTTTTTGTTGTAGGGTAAGCTTTTGTTGTAGGGTAAGTTTTTGTTGTCGGGTAAGCTTTTGTTGTAGGGTAAGTCTAGGTTGTCGGGTAAGTTTTTGTTGTAGGGTAAGTCTGCATTGTAGGGTAAGTTTTTGTTGTAGGGTAAGTCTGGGTTGTCGGGTAAGTTATTGTTGTAGGGTAAGTCTGCATTGTCGGGTACGTTTTTGTTGTAGGGTAAGTCTGGGTTGTCTAGTAAGCTTTTGTTGTAGGGTAAGATTTTGTTGTAGGGTAAGCTTTTGTTATAGGGTAAGTTTTTGTTGTCGGGTAAGCTTTTGTTGTAGGGTAAGTCTAGGTTGTTGGGTAAGTTTGGTTTGTAGGGTTTGTAGGGTTAGTCTGGGTTGTTGGGTAAGTTTGGTTTGTAGGGTTTGTAGGGTTAGTCTGGGTTGTTGGGTAAGTTTGGTTTGTAGGGTAAGTTTGGTTTGTAGGGTTTGTAGGGTTAGTCTGGGTTGTTGGGTAAGTCTGGGTTGTTGGGTAAGTTTGGTTTGTAGGGTTTGTAGGGTTAGTCTGGGTTGTTGGGTAAGTCTGGGTTGTTGGTTAAGTTTGGTTTATAGGGTAAGCTTTTGTTGTCTTGATATGTACATTGTATGGTTGTCTTACCATACACTTGGTAAGGTTAACCTTGCTTTGTACCAGGTAAGATTAAGTTGTGTGGCTTACTACTATTGTAGGGTATCCTTGTACTTGGAAGGGTTGACTTGCTTTGTACTTGGCTATCTTACTTTTGATTTGGTCAGGATTTCTTGTCTTGCTTTGTACTGTGTACTAGACACATCTTGGTTCAGTATTAGTGAGATGCTTACAACTTACAGTGTTTGTCAGGTATGATAAAAAAAGGTATAAAAAGTATATGAATATGGATGATACCATGAACTGATTAACCCTTTCACCCCTAAGTAACTTTAGTAGACTCTACCAAACATGTATCTGGATGAGTCTATTCTGGTCTACAGTGGTGACATGATTAAATTTGTTTGAAATTGCTGTATTTGAACAGATCTACATTGTATAGTGATTTACTGATCGGCTGTATCATGATTCAAGTGATATAATATAGGGTGGCTATACTCGTCCAATGAACTCTGAAAAAAGACTTGTGTATTTTATGACCATTTTGTATTTCCATGGTGAACTTATATTACATTTTGATTTGAATATATTTCATGAACTATATACTTGTATAAAAGATATCTTTCAACTTCCACCTGCGGTGGATAAGAACAGCTCTCAAGGGGAGAGAGTTGACCTCGACACATGTAATTTAAACAAAATTTGGAGTGAGCTTGTGATGCATACTCCAGCTGTATAGACATGTATATTTTGAAGTCACATTCAACAAAATATCAAAGCCTTTGGTAAACCATAAATACTTTAATCAAATCTAGTAGAGATCCTGTTTCACAGATATTGAACCATTAGTCAATGAACTATTGTAAAATGCTGTGAAGATTGAACTTTTGTTGGTGTCATGAGTTTAGGAAACTCCAATCATGCTTTTATCTGCAGTGGGAATCTCATTGAAGTCCAACCTGCTCCAGGCATCCTCCAAACAATGGCACAGTAATTTCTCTCTCTGCCAGTCTGCACAGTAACAGATAATGACAAACAATTCAATGGACATATACAAAGCCACAGTCTATTTGTGGATACAATTTAACGTAATAGTGTGTAGTGATACTCCGGGTGAAAAACAGGTTTTTATGAGCTTGTCCATATTCATGAAGGATTTGTTTTCACGGGACGGAACCTTTAACAAAAAGGAAAATATTGGAATGAAGTGACATGACATTGTATGGTTGTCACGGAACGTGATAAAAGCAATTAGTTTCTGTTTAAGGAATAGTGCACCATTGTTACGTCCGACACCTTGGTTTCTGGGGAAATCAGCCATAACAGGTTTGCTGAAACCACTTGATAATCCTGGAAATTTGATAATCCAGTTTTTAGAAAAGCTTGTTTTAGGGACTTTCAATGATTGGATTAATGATTTTTATTTTTATTTACAATTTTGTCACAAAAGGTGTGGGTGATGTAACAATATAAATGAAATTCTATTTTTCACTGGAACCAGAATCATCCAGTCACTTTAGTTTCCAGGAAAAGGTTGCTGAATTGTCCGAGGCAGCTGAGTAACGGTTATACAGGAAATAGAGTATATGTCTGACAGAGTACTGACTGTAGAAGTGGGACTGTCAGATTAGTGGAGTCTTATAAGGCCTTGTGAAAGATTTAAAAATGCTTTCCACAGCCCATCATATAAACACAGACTAATGTAATGAATGAGGAAGTTTGACATTACAAGTGTTTTGATCCTGGCCTTATGACATCCGATTTCAATCTCGTGATAAATACAATTAACTATGGTCTGCCTAGTAAATATCATATTTTGTTTGAATAGTTAAAAATCATTGACCTGTTTCCGGATTGACAAATAGGGTTATTAGACACGATGAGGTCTATAGATCACTTGACGTTCGTATCATTACATCCCTATAGGTTTTACGAGGTTTTATGATAAAGATATTAAAACGCATAACTGCATTGGCCACGATTGTGACGTCAGGTTTAGTATTCAGATAAACGATAATACATATCTGTTTCTTTATTTAAATCAGAATTACGATCATCGATGTCCTGGAATTCCACAGGAAGACTAAATGTGTACAATGGAACTCCTTCTAGTTGGAGGTATATTATAAGAGGATCAAGTAAGAACGTCAATGACGTAGTAGATGTCCAGAAAGTTTGGTTTCCTGTGGTTTAGCTCAAATGGGAGATTACGATTGATGTTTTTGATAGATTTACCTACTGATAAGAATCAGATCTGGTAGGTAAAAAACGCACAGATTCATGGATAAATTACTGTTATTGATCTCTTTTTCAAGGATTAAGTTAATCTCCTGTACCTTGTCTATCTTCTATGTAAGAGACACCTGAGATGATTACATTATTCATGTGTATCGGAACTGAAATGGGTCGATCGCCAGCAACCAGGAAGCTCAATTGGTAGAGATGGTAGAGCGTCCATCTAAGGTTTGAAGGGTTCGTGGTTCGAATCCGTTCTGGCCATGCATTTTTCTGTTTCTATTACATGTACATATGTATACAGTTTATTTTAAGATCCGTCAAAGAATACCAGTGTGCGAAATTTCTAAAAGTATCCGACTTTGTTTTAGGCAACACTTTATTGCTTTCGTCACGTAATGTAGCATGTTCAGAAAGAAACAAATTTGTAGAATATCTAATGGTATTCCTGATAACAGTACTGTACGACACATTATCATTTACGTTTATAGCACAGTTTGACAACCCAATAATAATTATGATAGGAAATGTCACGTACACTTACCGTACCTGTTTAAAAGGCTGATCTGATTAATCCTTGTTGAAAAAGGAAGTTGAATTTTTGATGAATAGAAATCAAACTATTTAACCATTGGATTGACGTGAGTTAACAGTAGGTACTTTGTTGAGTGAGTGTGAATATGTTATCAAGACATGTAAAGATCTAATTGGACGAAATATTTCTGTCTGCATTACTAGCATTATGTCTTCTGCCATCTGTGATCTGGTAAATATCTACATCTGGTATTAGATGATTGATTTGTTGGTTATACATCCGCTTCACTACCAAGTAGTTTGGTTATCCAGCAGACGAACATTTGGTATTAGATGTTCTTTTTTATAACAAATCTATTTTATTTTTTTTCAACATTTTCCAGAATGGATGTGTCAGATAATTGATTAATCAGCTGGGATAAGCTACATAGTTAATCGATGTATTGAATGTGAGGATTTTTTTTTAAAGTAGACCTTTTACAAACAATTTTTTTTTCTTTTTTTTTTCTACAGGATGGATTAAACATGTGTCATATATTGGATTAACTGGATTGTTCCTCAAGGGAGATAACTCGACATAGGTGGGGAATGACCCACCATGACGACATCATGTCATCCAACAAAGAAAAGGGGAGACAAACCAAGTCGCGCTACTACAACATGACATATCACTGTAAGTCACACTTCAATTAAATCTTTGTTCAACATTGAACCATGTCTGTCAAACCTGCTCATGTGACCATGCAACTCCATAAAGAGACCACCTGTGTTAAGAGACAACATTTGATTTCCCCTATGATAGTGTCTTCAATGTGAAATTAACCTGTATTAAGAGACCATCTGTGTTAAGAGACCACCTGTGTTAAGAGACCACATGTGTTAAGAGACCACCTGTATTAAGAGACCACCTGTATTAAGAGACCACCTGTGTTAAGAGACCACATTTGATTTTCCCTATGTAAGTGTCTTTAATGTGAAATTAACCTGTATTAAAAGACCACCTGTGTTAAGAGACCACCTGTATTAAGAGACCACCTGTGTTAAGAGACCACATTTGATTATCCCTATGATAGTGTCTTTAATGTGAAATTAACCTGTATTAAGAGACTGCCTGTGTTAAAAGGACCAACTTTAGAACTTCCCTATGGTGGTCCTTAAAACAGGTTTGACGTTATATGGACAAATTATGTTCTGTTTAATGTAAATGCAGGAATGATCTAGCTAATGGCTTTAAGATAGCCTTACTGGTATTTTTAAATGCCAGCATTATGGAATAGCGCTACAGTTCTCAAGCAATTTCATGTCTAAGCCATAACTGTGTGCCATTTCAGATCGATCAGGGTCATATTTCACAGCCTTATTACTCTTGTCCCACGGGTGTGTCATGATCTTTGACCCAAGGTCATATCTCAAAGGTCAAGGTCTTGTAACCTGGACATGTATAATGCGTGTCTGGGACATGGTAACCATCACTAAATGAAATTGATGTATTATGGATCTCTTCAGTGGTTGTTGTTGCACTGTTGTTTAAATTGTTTATTTTACCATGAATTTGATTTAAGGAAAACCTCAAGATATTGGAATACATAACGACTTGGTCTGTGATGTCATAACACACAGTATTGGACTAGAATGTTGTGCGACTGTTATTGATGGGAACTTCTTTTGGATAATTATTGAGATATGAAACAAAACAAATAATGTGCAAATTGTATGAATCTGTGTAGTGGAATCTTATCAAAATTTGCACTATTTTTTCATAACCTATAATGATGACCTAAAATGTTTCCATCAATGCTCCTACACGCTTACATAGTGACATTATAGGTTGTAACTAGTGCATGTTGATTTGAAATCAAAAAGAAAATATATTTTCAACTATGATCATGTGAATCTTGTTTTCCAACTGTCGTGTTCAGGATGTGGCGGCATCCTTCACTGTGTTAAAGATGGCGTACAGTTAGAGTAACAGTAAATTCAATATTGACTACAAAGCTTTTACGTCATTTCGTTAATTATTGTACCAAAACGCTGAATAAGGTTTCGTTCAGACGCAGATTCATGGATCACTTTGATACTAATTCAGATTATGAAAGATTGACGAGTATTGGCATATCAAATTGAATTACTGAAAAAACCATGACAACATAATCAGAGTTTTAAAGAGAAGATTTGATGGATTTTAACAGTGAAATGATTAGGTTTATAGATAAATATTGTCCCGTATTGATTGGGCATCAAAATATGTGTATCGAAACTCAATTGGATGGTTCTAATTTATCTGTTGAATAATAATTTCACTCTGAGACTAGTTGAGTATAGGTAGAATATCATTGATGAATCAGTAATCATAGAATAAAATCTGTAAAGTAGCTGTAGAAAATGTGTTCATACCCTAACAGATGTAATGTTTTTTGTGGGTCGTTTTTGGCTGTTTTGGCATTATAAGCCACAGTATTCTTAAGTTAATGATAAATTCATACAAATATGTATAACATGTAATGAGAAATTTGTCTTTGAAGTACTCTGTCTACTCAGAAATATTTGTCCTATGGAATGTTCACCCTAATCAGTGGTCAAGTCCATATTGGGGTAATCAGTTTCAATATAGCTGACAACAGAAAATACAGTGTATACTAGCTGTGCATGCAAAACAGGAAAGGTTGAAATTTCAAAATTTCCTTAGAAATGTTTAAAATCTCTAATGTACTAAAAGTTGATTGCTTGTCTGATGCAGCATCTCTGGATTGTGTAAGTCGCTGACAGGGGAGGCAGATGTAATAGCTGATTGACTATAAGTTGCTGACAGGGGAGGCAGAAGTAATAGCTGATTGACTATAAGTTGCTGACAGGGGAGGCAGAAGTAATAGCTGATTGACTATAAGTTGCTGACAGGGGAGGCAGAAGTAATAGCTGATTGACTATAAGTTGCTGACAGGGGAGGCAGAAGTAATAGCTGATTGACTATAAGTTGCTGACAGGGGAGGCAGAAGTAATAGCTGATTGACTATAAGTTGCTGACAGGGGAGGCAGAAGTAATAGCTAATTGACTATAAGTTGCTGACAGGGGAGGCAGAAGTAATAGCTGATTGACTATAAGTTGCTGACAGGGGAGGCAGAAGTAATAGCTGATTGACTAAGTTGCTGACAGGGGAGGCAGAAGTAATAGCTGATTGACTAAGTTGCTGACAGGGGAGGCAGAAGTAATAGCTGATTGACTAAGTTGCTGACAGGGGAGGCAGAAGTAATAGCTGATTGACTAAGTTGCTGACAGGGGAGGCAGAAGTAATAGCTGATTGACTAAGTTGCTGACAGGGGAGGCAGAAGTAATAGCTGATTGACTAAGTTGCTGACAGGGGAGGCAGAAGTAATAGCTGATTGACTAAGTTGCTGACAGGGGAGGCAGAAGTAATAGCTGATTGTGTAAGTTGCTGACAGGGGAGGCAGAAGTAATAGCTGATTGACTATAAGTTGCTGACAGGGGAGGCAGAAGTAATAGCTGATTGACTAAGTTGCTGACAGCTTAGGGGAGGCAGAAGTAATAGCTGATTGACTATAAGTTGCTGACAGGGGAGGCAGAAGTTATAGCTGATTGGCTATAAGTTGCTGACATGGGAGGCAGAAGTAATAGCTGATTGACTATAAGTTGCTGACAGGGGAGGCAGAAGTTATAGCTGATTGTCTCGGCAGGCTACAAGGTCAGGGTCACACAAACAAAAACTGGCCACTAATACCCTGACCCTATGGTCAATTAGGCATGTTTAACAGCCAATTAAATAAGTACAGCCTCATCCAAGGGAGAGAAGACTTTCTGACTCCACAGAGGCCCTCACCCTGTCAGGTGCAATATAGTGCAGATGTTGAAAGTCGGAGTGGGGTGGGGATGGGGATGGGGGTAGGGGGTGGGGGGCCGACACAACATCAAGGTCACATGTCGATGTAGTAAGTAGATATATATCTAGGAGGTTGTCCATACAGATAAGGATAGACAAGATAAACCATCTGAAAATAAATGTGGATATCAACACTGATAATTGTAAACTAATAAACTGGGCTGGTAGCACAGATGTAAGGGTATGTAAACAGCTTAACACAGGATATAATGTGTACACATAGAGTACCACTAGCTGTTTGGGGGAGCAGTGCATACTGCATACCAGGAGAAAACTAGGCTGATAAGTTTGCTTCTTACACCCAAACAATGAATGGAGCATCATATCCCGGAGGCACTACAAACAAATTTTGAAACATTTATACTTATGACCACCTTGATTCTACCATGTGATATATCAATAGAAGCCAGTGACAGAATTTCACAAAAATATTTTATGAAAAATGTATACTAAGTACATTAAACAATACTTAACTTGAATCTAAAACATTTCTTTACAATCCTTCTCTTCTATTTCATGTAGACAATATATTGTTTAGCGTAGTATAAATTTTTCATAATAGATATTTTACTGTAAGAACCCCAAAATATAAAGTTTCTCATGAATATATTGAAAATAAGGATTGGTAATTTTTGCAAAAAAGTGGATTTACAAAGGATGTACGTGTTTGATGAACACACAAAGTTAAAATAAGATATTTATAAGGAATACCCTGGAGTTGTACAGTACTACCTATGTAGTCAGGGTGTAATATAACCTATTATTTTGACACCAGTCTCTGTATGATCGTGCCTGCCCTTCCTGTATGAGAGATTAACACCGGACCCCCCACACACTAACTGTTTTATGTATACACTGTTGACATAATCCTTACAAGATTTCAGATATGTCAAAAGTGGTATTTTTGAAGTTCCTAAATGTTGTACACATGTCCTTGACCTTCAGAAGCTGGACCCCCCTGACTGTGTTACTAATACTTCTGTCATTGCCACTGACAGAGGGACTGCGATAATCCCAGGCTGAACATGGGCCGACTTTGACAAGTTGGAATCATGATTCATTTGGGTGTAAAAAGGCCAGTCAAAGTAAACGTTTGGTTATCAAGAATTGACATACGAGGAGATGGTATATTTTATAGGTCGTTTATAGTTAATTGTTTGTTACAGAAATAAGTGGGATTAATTATGACCAAACAAGAGTTTGTATGGGGATATTGAAAAGAATTCAAAGCACAGTTAATTCATTGGATCAAACAGTGCTGGCAGCAGAATCTGGGTTTAAATATTCCGCTCTATCCCAAAGCTTCGAAAGATTCTTCGGTTGGGAAAACAAATTATTGAATTATATATTTGAAAAAAAAATGGACACAACTTTTTAAATATAATCTATCTAGTAGTTTGTATGCTGGGTAGCTGAATAAACTGTGAAAAAAATCATAAAAACAAAGTATTAAGATTGATCTACTTAGGTCTAAGAGATGTTAACAGATTTGATCAGTGTTGTGTTAGGGCTGACCTAATTGTTAGGGGAATGAGGAAGTGAGTGAAGAGGGTTGATAATGTTCCGGTGCCAATATTTAGTTTGGTGTTTAGTAATTGTACGCTGGTGCTCTAGGTACGTTGTAGGTTATATACATACCTATAGGTAATACATAAAACTCCTGCTGGTACTATATCTGTACCTCCAACACAGACTGTCTTGTCTCAGACCTGTACAGGATTTAGAAAGGCTATTGCAGAAAGAATTTGGCTGAGGGTCTTTTTCAAGGTCAAAGGACAAG